TCTCGTCATCGCTTCTGGATGAAGCTGTCTTGGAAGACACCAAGCGAGTGCTGAACACACGGAGTGAATCGACGATCCTACGGAATCCCTTGGATCCGTATTATCCTTTGGTAAAGGAATATCAAGATGTCGTCTCCAAAGACCCGCCTACGGTCCTACCTCCGGACCGAGATGTGCGTCATGAGATGACCTGGTTCCGGGAACGAAATACTGCGTAACACGCCAATGGCTCTGCCCAAGGAGCAGTGCGACGTCATTGACGCTTTTTCCGTGCGAAGCACGACGCAGGGATGGTGCGTGAGAGTAAGTCTCCTCATTCGACACCAAACGTTTTGTGTTCGGAAGCCGAACGTCAAGTGGCATATCGTTCATGCTTACAATAAGCTCAACGCCACAATTCCGGCACAAACGCCAATTCCAAGACAGAAGGTTCTCCAGAGCAACATGGTGGGGTATACGAAATACAGTGCACTCGATTTGGTAGATGGATCCTACCAATTGCTCATGAGAACCGAGTGACATTCCGCTGACAGCGGTAAGCACTCCGAGCGGTATGCTCTGAGAGTGGCTGGTGATGCCCCAAGGGCTGTCAAATGCACCAGCAACATTTAATTGTGTTTTGACGCAATTGTTCAGGCCCCACCGGACGAATGCATACTTCGACGACATCTTCGACCACAGTCGTGCGGAGCACAGGAGGACAGACGTGGAAACCACATCGTCTATTTGGGAGCAGTGTTCGAAAGCATGCGCTTGATAAGCTGTATGCTAATGCGGATATGTGCATCTTCGGCGCTGAGGAAATCTTCTTTTTAGGGTGCTTCATTGGGAAGCGTGGCCTTCGAGCATATCCCGCAAAGGTCAAGGCCATTATGGACTGGACGGTTTCATAGAACCAAAACGACTTGCGCAGGTGGCTTGGCCTTGCCAACTACTTGCACAAGTATAGCGCAAATTATGCGAAATTGGAACGGCCATTGTCTATTTACTTAAGACGGATAAAGAATGGTATTGGGACACCGAGCATCTGGAGGTCTTTGACAGAGTCAAAGACAACCTCCTTCATGCGCAAATTCTGGCGATGCCAGACCCCGATCGTCCTGTTGGTGTCGTCTGTGACGCTTCGGACTTTGCCATCGGCTGTGCATTGCTGCAAGCAGACGCCGAGGGGTGAGATCGGGTGATCGCGTTCGAATCTCATCAATTTAAGACTTTGGAAAGGACTAACCAGTCCACGACAAAGAACTTCTTGCGATGAAGTATGCACTCGTCAAGTTCAGGGTGCACCTGTGTGGCTCAAAGCCGTTTGTGATTAACACAGATCACGCGTCATTACGCACTGCGACTCAGACGTCACACTTCTCGCCGAGGATGGCCAGGTGGCTGTCATTCTACACAGAATATAACTTCGAGGTGTAGTATAAGCCAGGAAAGCAAAATGCTTTAGCTGATGCGTTGTCACGTAGACCGGATTATGAGCTTCCTCATTTCACGATATTTGTGTATAATAATATTCAATAAGCATCGCGCTAAATTCTGAATTCTAAGATCGGTGACAGCTTTTTTGGTACTTGTGAAGCAGTTGACGAGGTACTTGCTAATTTAGCTAGGCAGTAAGAAACCGAAAATGACAAATTCAATTATTGCAAGTAATATCCTTGCTGCTGTTTTGAAGTATCACGTGAATTTGTTGGCTAAACACGCGGTAAATGGTTAGTCATACAACTCGAAAGGCTTTTCTGGAGCATATCCAGCTACAGACTCTCGTGGGAAAAACTTCGCTATTTTTACCTCCAGTCAGTCACAGTCAACTTATATTGTTCGGCCTAGGTTGAGAAAGCGCCAGCTGAAAAGAAAGTAGTGCTAAAAAGAGCTGCCTGTGATTGATACGGTTCTTCCGAAGATTTGTATATTTTCGTTGGTGCTGGATAATCATACCGGTATTACGTCATGTTTTGTTACTGTTAGAATCAATCAATTTAACTCGTACTGAGAATTGTATCCTTTAATGGTGTCGTGTCACGATTTCGCAGCCACACGCTCCAGCTGACCGAGTCATTCCAACAAGTGCGGCGTATCCCCCAGACCTCTATTCCCATGGCGACAGAGCAACCTTACGTGTTTCCATCCTTGATGGAGATCAAACAATCCCTACCCCGGGAGTGTTTTGAAGCCTCGGTGCCTCTATCGCTCTACTATACAGTTCGATCCCTCGTCATCGCTTTGTCACTTGTCATTGGGCTCAACTACGCACGCGCTTTGCCGGTTGTTCAGGGTAGTTGGGTTTTGGATGCCGCTATCTGCACGGGATACATTTTCCTGTTGGGCATCGTGTTCTGGGGATTTTTCACACTTGGCCATGACGCAGGTCACGGCTCTTTTTCACGCTATCACTTGCTTAACTTTGTCGTGGGCACTTTGATGCATTCGCTCATCCTCACACCCTTCGAATCGTGGAAGCTTACGCACCGTCATCACCACAAGAACACTGGAAATATCGACCGCGATGAAATTTTTTACCCTCAGCGTAAAGCCGACGATCACCCACTGTCACGTAACCTCACTCTGGCACTCGGTATTGCGTGGTTCGTTTACTTACTTGAAGGTTATCCACCACGCCGGATCAACCACTTTAATCCGTTCGAGCCCCTTTTCGTGCGTCAAGTATCGGCCGTGATCGTCTCCCTCTTCGCCTACCTCTTCGTGCTTGGTCTTTCCATTTACTTGACCTTCCAACTGGGCTTTAAGACCATGGCGCTCTACTACTACGCACCTGTTATGGTATTTGGCAGTATGCTCGTGATTGTAACTTTTCTGCATCATAATGACGAAGAGACTCCGTGGTACGCGGACTCAGAGTGGACTTATGTGAAGGGAAACCTGTCGTCCGTTGACCGATCTTACGGAACACTCATTGACAATTTAAGTCACAATATCGGTACACACCAGATTCACCACCTTTTTCCCATCATTCCGCACTACAAGCTCAAACAGGCCACATCGGCTTTTCGCCAAGCATTTCCCGAACTTATTCGGAAGAATGACGAGCCAATTCTTAAGGCATTCTTTAGAATCAGACATCTCTACGCCAAGTTTGGTGTCGCCGAATCGGATGCCAAAGTCTTCACCCTCAAGGAGGCCAAGGCAATGACAGAGACGGCAGCTAAGTCAAAGACTACGTAAAGGATTGAAATGTAGGAGGGAACCAAGTTTCTGCTTAAGAAGAATCACATTTTATCTGCTCAAGTCTATATTCTTACCCATCGCATAAACACGTCGACCTTGGAATATTTCAGACCAAATAACAATAACACAATGGGTATTTATCCACATGTAGAAACTAAACACTCAACAAAATAGATACATGTATACACAGCTGAAGAGAGAGCTACTATTTACACGTTGCGAGTGCGCCTACAGCCCCACGCATCTACTAGCTACGAGAAGCAACAAAAGGACGATAACACCAACTACAACGCAATCCAAGCTCTCTTCCCCCACCTTCCCTCGCCAGCACCGCGTTTAGTAATCGAATTAGCCGAGAAACAAGCGTCTTGGTGCTCAAAACTTTTACGCAATCACTATTATCTCCTCATCCTGGGTCTGTCCCCGCTATAATTTAAAGCAGTAGGACATTCTCTTTAGGAGTTATACCACCACCACCGACGCCATTATTATAGCCGTCGTTTACTCCTGATATTCCTGGCGTCACCATCTCTGCCTCTGTGCCCTTCCTCAAAAGCCGTGCACCCACCGCGACCGCCACAACAGCCACACAGCCCATACAGATAGCAAGTACCGAGGCAATCCCCATGCCACCATCCTCTTTTTCATCATTCGTATTCGTGCTATCGCTCAGAATCGAGCCTGGATTAAACGATTGTTGGTTTGCCAAGCTACTGCCGGGTGAGTCGCCAGAATCAGGACGCCTTGTAGAGCTGTTGGAATCTGGTGACATTGGAGAGATCGTGATTTTCATTACGCTTTTGTCTTCCAGGTTCCCTACAGTAACACATTCTGTAAGAGATTTCATAAGGAACACTAGAGCATCAGATAAAATACCGTCACTATCCTGCAGAAGAGGCAGACCGGAGCCTGAACTAGCATTGCTGGCATAACCTCCACTAGTGTCGTTATTGCCATTTCCTTTGAATGGGCCATTCCTATTATCATTGTTGCCATTCTTATCGTCGTTACTGTTGTTGCCATTCTTGCCATCACTGTTGTTAACACTACTGCTGTTGCCGTTACTGGTGTTGTCGTCATTGTTGCCATTACTGATGTTGATGTCGTTGTTGCGATTATTGTTATTGTTGTCATTGTTGTCGATAATTTTATCCGCAGGATGGTTTTCGGGACTGCTTATTGTGGGAGTGTTCGTAAGGCTGCTCGTCGTTGGGCTATTAACGGTAGAGCTGACGCTTGTCGTGGGGTTAATGACCGCTGGATTATTGAGATTACTCGTGCTACTAACAGAAGGAGCCGTCGGAATCGAATCCTGCACATCTATTGGTGCACCTGAAAGCGTCACCGACTTGCCATCCTTGGTCAGCGTTCCGTCAGAGTTTACATATATAAGGTCCGAGCGACCTGCAGCAGCACAGCCCATAATAGGTGTCTCTGGAAGCAGCGCGCAATTTGCACCGTTGGGACAGGCTCCAACCCCTTGAGAGAGTCCTGACGCATAGTAAGTTCCAGAGCACGGCGCCGATGGGACGCACTGCACACCTGCGACGTCCAATACACTCACCGTAAACGCACAATCTACACTTGCATTGAATGATTTCGACTTTTTGTTAAATCTCAAAAATAACAAACACATCGTATAAAATTCGTACCATCGGCAAAAGCTCCCTTAGTGAGCAATAGTAAGCCGGTCAATGTGAGCCTCATCCTGATCAGGCGTATGGGGTTTAGATGTCGTTTTTCCTGTACCTTAAGCCCGTTAAGAGTGCACACGCGTCGGCGCCGTCGTTCTCGTTGGCGTTCGAGTTGCTGCAAAGCGAGTTAATGCTTACGCCAGCGAAAATACCGAGGAAGCAAATATTATTGTTTCCAGTCGGTCAGCCTTCCGTTTTGCGAGAAAACACAGGAGTGAAAAGGACGTGCTACACACACGAGAGCCAGAGCACGAACGATCAATTTGTGGCGTTGCGAAGCGACACTGCGCCGAAAATAAAACGCTGTAATTGGTCATAAAATATCGATCTGCTGCCCGTCCCTGTACAAAAGAGGGACAAGATGGTAGAGGTCGAGTTATTTGTCCGGACTCTGCCACTAGCAATGCGAGCACTTAATCCCTTTCACGAGAACGGCGAACTGTTTGTGCCCACGTCCGGGTTTTATGCCTGCCGACAATGTGATAGCGATTAAACATATTTCAGTTTCTATAGTTTGAAGGCGTTGCCGTCGCATTACCTTCGGGGTTTGCAGCCCAATGATCCACATGGCTTCACACGCCATTTAAAGTATATTACAGAAGCTCTGTTGAAGTTCAATTGTACAGCGGTACTTGTAAGGGGCCTGCTTACCAGAGCCTACACAATTGAAGCTACCCATGTCGCCACATGGTGACGAGTGGGCCAGGGATGGGTTCCTGCGAAAATCATAGATTCCTGGTCAGTGATCGGATAGATAATCAATAGATGCTTTTGTTCAAGCTTTTCAATCGAAAATCGAAAATCAATAGGCCTAGTAACTCCAAGTATATGCACGCAAGCCAGCACCTGCTTCTGTACATTCTATTCATGCGGAATTACATCATCACGGCGGCAAGATCCGTTTTTGCTACTGCTATCGCGTTGACGCTCAGATGCGCTTTCACTTGCCATGCAATGTTTTGTCATCGCCCCAGCGTCGTATTTAAGCGTGCGTCTTATGATCGTCAATATGAATGAATATATAGGGATTGCTTCTGGTTTACTATCAGCTTATTGTTTAACGTTCTTCGAAGCAATTCCAACATATGCGCCTACAGACATAGTATTAAAGAGCATTCAGATGCTTAAGGCGCTACTATCACGCATTCCACGTGAAAAATTCCACAGTTACCTAGTTGTGCACGTCGATTGTGACCTTACAATCTTTACAGCAACTTGCACATGGCTTAAAAAGGTGTCAGAAATACGTCGGAGTGGCTCCATGATGGGTGGTGGTCGCTTCATTCTCAACTCTTTATGTTTGTTGCTCAAACATGGAACGTGCCCTCAGCGGCTTTCACAAAATATTTGGCTCACAAGTTATATTTTAAGTTGATGGACAGCGAGGTAGGTATAAGACAGACTGGGCTGCTTCACATGCTACTTCTTCTGACCACTCCATGGTGTGAGTCCTTTACTTAGAATTTTAGAAAAGCGTGAGTACATCCTAGACTCTAACGAGCAGCGACTTTACATTTATATAGTATTGGAATGAGACATGCGGACAAGTCAGATTTTGGGTTTGAGGCTGAAGCCGAATTCTTGGGCTAATAGACATTTCACAACGGCGACATTCGTAATTTGAAAATCTTAACTTTGTCGTGAGCCACGCACTAATGAAGCTTTGAGTACAGGGTGCAGACCGTATTTCACAATGGTCTATCACACGTAGAGTCAAACCCGAAATGACAAAGTATGGTTCTCGGATAAATTTTCCGAACAAGTGCTAGGACGTTTAGGGGGGATTATTGGACGCATGGGCATGCATTACAGTGCATTTGAAAGTTTGTCTGAATGATAGTTTATAGACGTGTTGGCTTCCCAATACACCTACCTAATAATAAACATCACACAGTATCTGGATTAACTAAACGTCTAAACGAAACGTGAAGAAAAAAAAGTATGGATAAAGCACCTATAGAAACTTGTGATCAAAGATCAAGATCAAACCCTGGTGGGGAGCAGGGGTGAACCTCAAACACTAGGTAACCGATTCGGAGCTTCGACCGTTGTAAGACTTGGACCCTCACTTAACAAATTGGAGCCACCACACCACACCACACCACACCACGAAGCCAGATTTCGTGTTGAAGTTGGATGCGTAAAGTTTAATACTTAACAGCAAATCCTGAGTGGAGACTCTTAAATTTTCACTCACTTTTTTTAGATCTCTACTCACACATTTCTGCGCATGCGTTCCAGTTGTAGTTATAGTTTCTCTTTTTATGTCAATCGAAGAACTAAAAAAAAACATTTTATACGTACTTACTTGAGCAGCCCTTGGTCTCGAGGGGTAGCGCAATTAGTTGCTGAATGGTCGAGATCGATGATAGCTCGCCTGGGGGAGCTCACAAGCACTGAAAAAAACTAGTAAGACATTTACAGGATTGCTGTTATCAGGCCTCTGATCGAAAGGCTGCTTTTTTAAAGCGACGTATACGCTAGACTGTAGGTAGTATGGCCTGGTATACATTATTTCAATAGGGATACAATATCCGCGCATCATGCGAGAGAGGGTATAGTGAGGTTTTTAGCCCTTCTGTGAGATTTGAACAGCGTGGATCGCTGTCTTGTCCTAGAACTGGATATGAGATGCGATATGACGCGGCTTAAACGCCATGAGCTATTGATCAGTGGAACGTTGAAAACATTAGACGCCATGCCCTTCTTTCATAATGGAAGTTTGATGAGTTATGAATCCTGCTAGGCTCAATAGCAAGTGCATTCGGCGCAAACACGAAACGTCTTCAAATTTGGTGCTAAATGCGTAGTGTGGATTATGTTAAGAGCGAGCCTAAAGGAAGAAAGGAACAGGGGGTAAGAGATATGATCTGTTGACAGCGATAGCACATCGCTACTTCCAAAGTACGAGTGCTAATGAAGATAATCCATCGACGGTACGTCGCGTTGCCAATGTTTGTCTCTGATCTCCAAGAAAAGCCCTGACTAGACGTATCAAGGCGACTGTAGACCTCTGAAGAAGAGTAAGAGGGGTTTATTGCCGTCATTTCCTTAGCAAAAAATTATGGAGTCAAAGATTACAATTGCAGGTAGAAGGAGCAGCTAAGGGGAATTAATCATTTCTGAAAATGATACCGCGCTAGAATTGAATCATCAAACCATTGTGACTCGCTGACCGCGCGGAGCAAAGAGGTTTCATGTATTTGTGGCGGGGAAGTCTGTCCACTCGTGGATG